GCGAGCTTTCTCTTTTCTTTTCAATTTGATAAGGGTTAGCCCGAATATCTGAAATCTGGCCCCCTTTAAATTCATAGTCTGGCACTACATTTTCAGAGCCTGTGGCAACACTGCAACTAAGGTATGAGCACCATGAGTGGACATAATCGAACACAGGCAGAATGGAACTCTTATAACGTATAGTCAACTCCAGCAAAGTTTCTCCAATGAGAATAGCCAATCAAACGAGAAGTCGGTTGATCATGAATGACATGAATAGACATATGGATATTAAAAAAGATCTGAGTGAAAAAAAAAAAATCATTCATAAAAAAATTAACAAATAGGTACTTAATTTCTTGTAATTGGGAATAGGTGCTCCAATATTGACGTAAATCAAGTTTTTGCACACAATTATCAACAACGTTGACATATTAAGAGAAGAAAATACAGAAGCAAAAATAATTTCTTCAAGAAACCAACCTACACCGTGGTCCAATATGAAAATTTTGAATGTAAGAAAAAAATCGAAACGTAGTTATAAGAAATTTTTACTATCAAATGACAATAATGATTTGGAATATGTATTATAAAAAATCAAGAAATTAATCTGTAATAATACTTAGAACAGGAAAGACTTTATGTACAACCAAAGAATTGATAACAAGAAAACTTACATTAAAACAATGTGGAAAACTTGTTAAATGATACAAATTTGGTCTTGTCCGGATTAACCGAAAGCCCGTCAGTGTTGCTTCACCTTAAGACCATATTCAGAACTCATTGCATGATCTCTTTAATAGTTATGGTTACTGCGTATCTATAAGATTCGAAAGGATGAATATTCAAGTGTGTTGAAATGTGATCCTTCAAATTCTGTTTTCGTTTAAATTTTGCTTTGCAAGTGACACATTCAAAGGGATGAATATCCGAGTGTGTCGACATGTTTATCCCCAAATAGCGCTTTTGTTTAAATTTTGCTTTGCAAGTGTTACGCGCAAAAGGATAAATATCCGAGTGTGTTGATTTGAGCTTCTCCAAATCGCCTTTTTGTTTAAATTTTACATTGAAAGTATCACATGCGAAAGGATAAATATCAATCTCATTGTATGCTCTCTTTAATGGTTATGGGTTAGTTTGGGTTAGTTCTATTTGAAATAAGAAAGTTAGTATTTACATTCGGTACACCTTGTATAGTTGAAGATCTGAAAATATTTCAGGTGACACCGGAACGATTGATTATGAATTATGACTGCAAACCAAATTTGACATTTCCAATCCCCCATCATCCTCAAAAACTTCTAATGCACGCGCTACGTAAATCACCCTGTATAAGTGCAGAAATTCTGAATTCTATTTTTTATAAAGGATAATTGGAATATAATCAATTACGCTTACTTATGTTTAAAATTAAATCTTCAAAATCTTTGGCAATATTTGGAAAAGGGTTAAAATAATTTTTCAGGTCAACCTGGAGTCAACTTTGGTCTTGTCCGGATTTACCGAAAGCCTGTGAGTGTTGCTTCACTTTTCGACCATATCAAGAACTCATTGCATATGATCTCTTTGATGGTTATGGGTACTGGGTATCTGTGTAGGTAAGTACTTCAAATCGAGCTTGACATGATTCTGCTTTCAAGCACGACTCAGATCCTTTTTACAATAATATGATGAGACTCAGCTTAAGGCAGAAAAACTCTTAATTCCTCTTGCAGTTTCAGAGAACTTCAATCTCCAAGATGCAGAAAAGTGGGATGACATAAATCAATAGAGGATGTCACCCATAAAACTCGAAACCGGAATGGCTCAATCAATCTAATACGGTTGAATTTCATCAGAATTTATCTTGATGGGTCGTGAAGGTAGTGGTTCACCTATTGCTGAAAATAGGCTACCATTTTTTATCAAAAGCCGTTAAGTACCAATGCGACGAAATAAAAAATTTCTTAACTTGGTAATGTGAGATACTGTCACGATATCGTCCGCCAGGCTGTCAAGAATCGATGGTGAAAATACTAGAATTTAGCGAATTATTCTACTTTTATCTGGAAAATTAGATTATCGTGCGTATTCTAGATTTTACAGGAATAGAATTAGGGATATATAAGAAGGCCGGCATTGATTTGTAAGTTAGTTTCAGTTCGACTGTGATACGATTTAAATAGTGATTGTAAAGAGTTTAATTGTTGAGTTTGTTAATAAAGTAATTAGTGTCAGAGTGTTTTATTAAGTGGAATAAATTATTGCTGTGTTAATCGGACTTTGATTTTTGGAATAAACGAAAGGAGCAACGAACCCAAGATTTCTGTCCGGCGATCCAAAGCCGCGACAATACATTTGACCAGGGTCGCCTTGTTAAACTCTTATCTGTAGTTTATTTTTGTGAAAATTTTCTTGAACTTGAAGTATGGGAACGTCTTCAATCTGGAAAGAGGGGAAAATTTTCTGTAAGGGAAGATAATCAAGAGCTACCAAACATGAGTAAAAGGGTGTCCATGCAGATTAAAGATAGAAATTCATCATTTGACTTTCATATTGGCCATGTTAACATCTCATTCCCTCCTCCTCTGAAGTGAGGGATATAGTTTTGCAAGAGAGGTTCCATGTTTTTGGCATATCGGAGACTTAGCTTACTCCAGAATATTCTGATGTGCTGGTCAGTATTCCTGGATACCATCTTTATAGGGCAGACCGACCATAACACGTGGTGGAGGAGTGTGTGCATATATCTCTTGTGAACTAAAAAGTACAGTGGTTAGCATGACTGCAAATCACAGTAGTCGTGACCAACTTGAACAATTATGGATAGAGATAAGATATAAAAACAAATCAATTCTGCTAGGTGTATTGTATAAACCACCTTTAGTTAATTACAAGCATCTTTGTTGCCTGGAGGATATTTTATCTACAGTGGCATCATCATAAACATAACATAAATTTACTTGCCACCAGTACAGAAAGCCATTATTTTCAGTCATTGCTTCAAGTAATTTAGCTCAAGTAATCACAGAACCCACAAGAGTATGCAGAACTGCCCCTATAGCCTGATTGATGTTATTTGTATTTGTAAAAGGGTAGAAGTTATAAGTTCTGGGACATATGACATGCTGAATGATGTTTATCAGTCATTTAACCGAATAAGGTCAAAAAGTATGGGCATAGATCAGCTAAAGCTTTGACATGTTGCTTTTCAGTATAAATTATATAGCACCTATAATTGCAGAGTTCTTCAACACTTCTTTACAAACTGGAGTCTTTCCCATCTTGTGGAAATGTTCAATGATAAGGCCAATCCCAAAGAAACATAAAATAGAAACATTCGAAGAGTTGCGGCCAATTTGTCATATTCCTATCCTTGCTAAAATGTTGGAGTTTCTGGTGTCGGAGCTTTGAATATCATGCCGGAGACACAATATGGCTTTCGCACAGCTACAGCGCTCACAAAGGTTTCAACTGATGTTGCAGCAAACATGCCAAACATGGACTCATCGATGGCGTCTTGTTTGGTCCTTTTAGACTATAGCAAGACATTTGACATGATTAACCATGATATGCTTGTTGCAAAAATGAGGTACTATGGTTTTGGGGAGCGAGTGTGCCTGTGGTTTCAACAATATCTGGATGCTAGAACGCAGATCGTTGAGCTGGATGGGGTCAGGTCGGGCTCGGAGCGGATGAGGTATGGGGTTCCACAGGGAATTGTTCTGGGACCCATGTTGTTTGCTTTGTATACTGGCGACCTTCCCAGGGTAATTCGGCATTGCTCAGTACACCTCTATGCTGACGACACCCAGCGCCTGTTGGGATTTCCACCTGAGAGGGCCTGCCTCGCAATGGAGGAGGTCAACATTGATTTAAATTCAATTTACAAGTGGTCAATTAATCATGGACTAAAGCTTAATACAGAAGAAACTAACTTTATGATTCTTGCCACACCCTAGGTAAGGAATCGGTTTGATCTTTTTAATTTCAATTGCCTACATATTAATGGAGTTTTGCTTACCTCTGTTGAATCAGCCAGAAATCTGGGGGTGATTTTCGACCAGCAGCTTGAGTTCCAGCAGCATGTAAACAAAAAGCTTTCTCTACTGTACATGAAGCTGAAAGTTTGTACTCATTCAAATATTTTTTACCTCCCAAAGTAAAACTGATGCTTGTTGGAGGCCCTGGTACTACCTCATCTTGATTACTGCTGTGTAGTCTACTATAACTTTCTAACATTGGAATATAAGAAAAAAATTGAGTCAGCGCAGAACGGTTACATGCGGTTCATTTATTGTGTTAACAAGTTTGATCACACATCACCTTTTTATACAGATAACAGTATACTTAAGTATGATCCCAGAGTGGCACTATTCTTTAGTACGTTTGTATGTAAGATTTTTCAGACTAAATGCCCATCGTACCTTTGTCACTATTTGGAAGCCAGAGAAGACTTACATGATCGAAATTTGCGGAATATTGTAAGATTTAATATACCTCGACATAACTCCTTTAAGTTAAGAAACTCATTTGCCTTTCAAGTTGTAGAATTGCTCAACTCAGAAATCTTCGATCTCATTGTCAATAACTCGGTTTTCACATTTGAAAAGAAATATGTCTTGCCTGCTTCAAACCCTAAGTATAATAAGGTAAGGCCTGATGAGCCTAAGTATTATTTGTACCTATATGTAGTTAGTTTTAAAGTTCAGAGGGTAACATGGAAGAACGCTTGGTGAATGTTATACCTTTTATGTATTTCAACATATTGTTTGGTGCATAATAAAGTTTTTTCCATTCAATTCTATTCTAACTTGGGCCATTATTCCGTCAACTTGGATATTCGCACTGGAAACAATACTTTACAAGCAATAAACACTTTTTTCCTCAGTTGTGAGAGCTCAAACTTTAACGCCAGCACAATGCATACGCAATAGCACTATAAATTTTGGTAGCGACTGTTTTTATTGGAGGATAAGATATTTTGGCAAATACTGTTAAAAACAATTCTAGAGAAATTAATAAAGAATAAAAATCCATAGTCATGTACGTATTCACATTTATTGGATAGTTTATAACAATAAAAAGTTAAATAATAAATCAATAATAAAAAGAAATTTCAACACAAAAAATATTGTACCTAAATAGAAAAAGGGTACATATTTTGGGAAGACATAATAAATGCAATATAAAAAAACCTAAGATACTAAAATATATAATAAAAGTATGTACCAAGTCAATTTCACAACTGGGTTTGATTGGCAATGTGTTTTTCTTTTTTTATTACTGACCTCAAAACGGTCTACAATGAAACTGGCACCGAGGCCTGTGTATTTTCTAATAAAGGTTGTAGTCTATACAAGATGCTCTAGTTGAATAAAGCACTTCAAATGTAAAAAAAAAAATATTTGGCCACCAAATGAAGTTTGCAGGACCAGATTTTGCGAGTGATAGTGGAAGCTCATATAAGGGCACTTAATTGGAACCACAATTTTTCTACAAAGAAAATAAGGTAATTTAGTTTTGCCATATTTTTAGACATTAAATATGCTTTAATATTATCAGCATAGAAATGTGGCAAGCTAGAACACCATGTTATTAAAAAAGATAATAATTATATTGTGTATATTGAGGATCTTCAAATTTTAAAAAGAGTATAATTGGCTTTTCGCAAATGAAACAAAATATCACTCAGAAACCAGCAAGTACAATGAATAATCATGTTAATAGAATTCATCTGATTATGTTGATACTACATACTTCAATTCAGTTAAGCAGGAAACAAACGATGATCCTGAGATCAGAGAATTGGTTGTGGAATTTGTTGGAGCTAATAAAGCTAAAATCACAGCACCGTAGCACTACCATAAGAACTGACACCTGGGGGCCGATTCTCGTCTCAGGGAGGGAGAGCTCCCTGATAGAACGAATGTTTTATCCTTGTCAACTTAATCGAAAAGTGAATGAGAATGATAAAGACGAAAAATTTGTTCCCTCGAGGAGCTCCCACTCCCTGAGACGAGAGTCGGGCCCATGGTATCAAACTCTTATTGAGAAAGCTTTTAGTACCTGTGTCCAAAATAAACGATATATTTCTTTCATTGGAAAAACTGGTTTCACTGAACTTGATATGTAATACATGTACTAGAAAGGCTGTAGTAAAAGCTTATCATTATGAAATTGCTTGTAATATTTTGTTTAACTTACTTCAAAAGCCATACCAATATATATGTACATACATCCAAAAAACATTTTAAAGTTTCAATGCTTTAGCATCTTTCGTGCAAAATCGTCATATAAAGAAGGCAATGTTCACTAGAACATCCTGTATTAAGTATAAATAAATCTTAATTTAACAAAGTACCAAAAAAGCTCTACTAAACCCTTACATCTATGCTTTGTCTAAGTACCATCGACAGTTTTACCCATTTGATTTACATGTATGTATTTCTAAAGTCAAAGTTCATTAGACAAAGACTGCCTATGACATCAATATACTCAAAAAAAAAAGTAAACATAACAAATAAATACATTACTTAAAAGTTAGAGTTTCGTGCATTTTTAGTAGTTTAGTAGATTATGTAGGTATATGGTTTCAAATATCCCCAGTCGGATACAGATGCAGAAAAACAAAAAGTCCCAGATTTTGACTTATTTTATTCATTATGTACTTTATTGTTTGATATATTAGTGAAATATTTCTGTATTTTTTTTTTTGTCAACCAGTAGCCAACCCTTGAGAGACCAACTACTTGGCATTAAATACAACCACTCAATCTCGCCCAACAGAAAGCCCTGTGTTAGTCATTCTAATAACATCTGTATATTTTTTTTCCAAAAAGAAGGTTTATTTTGGGAAATAAAACGATTTGAAAATCAAATTTTTAAACTGCTATTTAGCCAATGAGCGTTTTCAATCAGGTGTTTTTTGTTTAAATTTTTTGCAAAAAAATGGATATATTAGTCTCCAAATCATAAACAGAGAGCTTGTGCATTATGGCAGTTGATGCGATATTGACAACTTATGTTTAAAAAAAAAAGGCTGTGATATCTCTTATCTCTCATGGACTTGCAACTCTAAAATTACTTTAAATTTGCCAAGCTTGTTTTTATTTGATACCTTCTCATATTCGTAATAATAATTTATAATAATTAATGACGAAAAAGTGATCTGAGACTTTGTGTAATTATTACATGGAACTTGAAATGTTCCACATTCAAAAAAATATATAATTTTTTGAAAATTATGCATCATGTACCCAATAAAACCAAATATATACACTATCAAAACACAGAAGAATATTGTTAGTACATACAATATTTATTTATAAAAATAATAAAAATATAAAATAAAGGAAATTTTTATAAATTGTAAAAAGAGCCATATTATTATGAGAATGCTGTGAAGCCCCTGTGAGCCAACAATAACATTGAAGTAAGTCACATTGAAACACCAGCAGGGTCTTACCAACAAACTCACAATACAACCTTCCATTGAACCCCTGCCAAATAATATAATAAAACAATTTAAAAAAAAAAATAGCTTTTCTCGTATAAATGCAGTTAAATTAGCTTTAAATTTTTTTTAAACAGGGCCCGCCATAAACACTTTAGACTGAATATTTTTTTACCTGCCGCTGTACAATAAATATTCAATACCCAATGGATTGAGATCCGAAGATTTCGTAACTGTCAATTTTTTATATATTTTTTTGTTTTGCTTGAAAATTATTCAAAATAGACAGAAAATCGAAATGAAATAAATATGAGAGAATAAAAACATTGCATCTGCATCGAACTGTAAACCAATATTTATTGTATGGGGTAAGGTGAAATAATATTCGAAAGAAATTTACACATGTTGTTTTTCTAAAATTATCAACAAAACATTTTTTGAGATAGCCGTTATATGAATTCGAGTTGAAAAGACCTACATTTTGACATTTAACTTAAGGTTGTACCTAAAATATTAAAGGAAATGCAGGTCTGTGGTGTTAACGGTGGCGGACCCTGTATAGTAAATACAAAAAAATATTCTTGTAAATAGTTCAAACCTACTGGGGGTAGAAATCACTAGCTTTTCCCTGGGTATATGTTTGATACATGTTTAGTATAAGCCCATTATGCCTGTGTAATGATAGTGTTGAGGGGGCGACCACTCCCGAAAAATATGTACATGTATTGCGGAAATCCTATGATTTCCAAATGATTGCAGAGATTTCGAAGAATTTTTCTAAAAATTTGCGATTTCGGAGGATTGCGAGGCGATTTCAGTGACTGCAGAGACTGCAGGGGGGATTGCGAACTAATTTTTGAGATTGCGAGGTGATTTTTGGGATTGCAAGGTGATTTCTGGGGATTATAAATATGATTGCGGAACATAATTCATTCGATTTTTTTACTATCTTTTGAATTTTTTTATTTTAATTGCAGTTTTTCATTCATAAGTTTATAGATAGGTATCTACAGGGTGACCCATTTTCCATGTTTTAATAGGCTATATCGAAAACCAGCAGAGCAGAGATATCAAAAATGTGGGAGTACATTCTAGATCTCTTTTTTGAGAAAATAACAATGGCGAGGACAAATCACAGCTAACTTGATGTGTTTACGAAATACATCAGGGCACTTTTCAAAGTTTGTCCAATTTTAAGAGCTTCTAATTTTTTCATTAATCAAGATATCCAAAAACCAAAAATACCTACTTTCTTCAAGCAGGTTCATAAGTAGAATCCAGTGGCATGACTATTTTTTTTTTTCCAGATGCCTCCGATTTTGGAATATTAACCAGTTGTGTTTTTTAAATAGGACACCCCGTATATTATTTTTTCATTGCATAGCTTTTTTTGAGCTGATTTCAATGATATAAGGTTTTATAGCTATAAATTCCGTTTCTCCATAAGAAACAATGAGCTAGAAAGAGATAAGTCATGAAATAAATTATGTGTTGCTTATTCATCATTATCACCCCCAATAATTCATAGTTCAAATTGAAAAAAAAAAACTAAACTTGTTGAATTGTTGAATAAGGGGCTGGGTTCTCAATAGCGAGTCACCCCCGAGTTAAGCATAATTCCAGGGTAAACATTGCAACTGGCCACGCTTACCCTGGAGTTCAAACCAACCCGGAGGTGACTCGCAATTGAGAAACCGGCCCTAAGAATAGAAATTTGTAGCGGATTCATATTTCAACTATCTCTTTCTAATTCATTGCTTCTTACAAAGAAACGGATTTTTTTTCCTCGAAAACTTTCGGAGATAATGCTATAAAACCTTATATCATTGAAATCAGCTCGAAAAGAGCTATGCAATGAAAAAATAATATACGGGGTGTCCATTCAAAAAAATACAACTTAACAACAGGGTTACCTATTATTCCAAAGTCGGTGGCATCTTGAAAAAAAAAAACTGGTAATGTCACTAGATTCTACTTCAAAAACAATTTAGCCTTGATTCGTCTTCTCCATTGTTATTTTCTCTAAAAAAAATCTCTGCTGGTTTTCGATATTGCCCATTAAAACATCGGAAATGGGCCACCCTGTACAGGGTGTCCGAATTTGGATGGTTTTAATAGGAAACATCAATTTCTGAGCAAGATACAAAAAAATCACCGTTTAGCCGCTAGAGGGCGATTCTCGATTTTGAGCAATAATGTGAAACCATCATAACTTTTTTGTTTATGAAAATAATTGATTTCCGTAAAAACTTTCTAGAAGCACTTTTTAAAGCAGAATTCAGTGACGTTCACAGTTTTATTCTAGTTGGTCCCAACTCCAAGATATTGACCAAAGTCTGGTTTTTTTCAATAGGACACTCTATATATTCATAGCTCATTAGAAAGCTCGGCTTTTTCTGATTTCAATGATAAAAGTTCGATAGGTTTATCTCTAATAGTTTTCGAGAAAAAAATTTATTTCGGTTTTTGTCATAAGAAGCAATGTGTAAGAAAAGGACTTTATATCTGTAAGGAAACTGAGAAAGGTCTCTTTCTAACTCATTGTTTCTTATGACAAAAGCCGAAATATTTTTTTTCTCGAAAACTGTTAGAGATAAACCTATCGAAATTTGTATCATTGAAATCAGCAAAAGCAGAGCTTTCTAATGAACTATTAATATATAGGGTGTCCCATTGAAAAAAATCGTATTTTGGTCAATATCTTGAAATCGAGGCCGAATAGAAAAAAACTGAAAACGTCACTGAATTCTGCTTGAAAAAGTGCTTCTAGGAAGTTTTTACGGAAATCAGTTATTTCCATAAACAAAAAAGTTATGAAGATTTCACAGTATTGCTCAAAATCGAGAATCGCCCTCTAGCGGCTAAACGGTTGAAGTTATCAAAATGCGGTTTGCACCAATCAAAATTTCAAGAAATTTGAGCCTCGGAGTGGGGGGTTCATTTTTTTGTATCTCGCTCAGAAATTGACGTTTCCTATTAAAACCATCCAAATTCGGACACCCTGTACATGTCCAGCTGCCACTTTAAAAACTTGATTCAAGTATCATTTTCCAATGATTCTGAAATACGTCCAATATACCAGATGTCATAAAGAGCTGCATAATATTTTTCATTGGATAATGAAATCACATTTCCACTTGTTCCACATCAGATCCAGCATTTGATTCTTCAAAAAAAAAAAAATACTGTTGTGTGCTGAATTCAAAAATCGGAGCAACAAAAACCTGATGTCAATTATCAATGTACCTCAAAAACGGGCAAGATCCCGATCAACAGCTGATTTTTTATCCCCACCAGAGCTGATTTTGAGCGATTTCAGAGATTGCAAAGGTGATTGCATAGGATTTCAGCGATTGCGGACAACGATTTCGGGACTGCAAGAAGGATTTCGGATATTGCGAACTGACTGCGGGATTTCAGAATGATTTCGGAGATGATTGCAAGTGATTTCAGGCCAAATGTACACGTATTGCGAGAAGTGGTCGCCCCCTCGGATAGTGTAATACACACTTTCAGATAATTAGCGATGGGAATTTTTCACCGCGTAATAGAAAGGTCTCAAATAATTGAATAAGGACACAGATCAATAAAAAATATGAGTTTTTTCAACTTAAATTTTTTTGACATTCTTCACTGGCAAATATATGAAATATTTGTAGATAGTAAGGATCTCGGTAAGTATTCAGTCTGCCTAGCTATCGGAAACGTCTATTTCCTTTCTCAAGGGCCTATAACTAAGGATACCTAATATAAATAATAATATTTCACTGCCAATCGTATCAAATTAAAATTTATACATATTTTATAGAGCAGAATAATCGAATATTTATATAGATTGAACTTGAAAAATGGATATAAAATGTATGCTTGTAAAAAATTAATTCGGGAGTTTGTCAAAATCAAGAAGTATCGTTATTGTACCTACGAGAAGGTAATAATCATCAAATATTCTGTTTTGGAAAAAAGTACTTTATTCAATTTGGAAACTTTTGGGGAAAATCACCAGTACCAATATCATGCTAAGCTAATTTACAAGAGGCTTTATTATTGCCTTTGTGTGAATAAATTATTTCCTTTAAAACTCTTGAAGTTCATTGGATATAACCTGAGTCACATTTTTTACAAGGAATAGAATAAGAATATAGGTACCACAGAAGTATTTTTATGTTGCGAAAATGTTCGATGATTTCTGATTATAATCAAGGTATGAGAGGTATTAAGTATTAAGAAATTGAATTTTTTCCCTTTGGGTCAAGCATAAATTCGATTATAATCAGCTATGTAATTTGATCTGTGTGGTATTAATGTTTAGTTGAGATTTTTGTTTAGATGGGAATTTTTAATAAGAAAATTGAATTGTCATGGATTCTGTGTTCACTGAAACCTCAGTTTAGCAACAATAACAACTTTCATTATTAAACAAAATGACTTGATAAAGTTTAGTCATCACTTCTTATCATATTTACTAAACTGGACAGAACAATTATTCTCTTATTTCAAGTGATCTCTGAATTAGGTCCTTTCAATTTCTTTGTGGATTGGGTTCAGTTCAAGGGCGAACTATTAACATTAAGTAAAAAAGAATAAATTGGTATAATAGAAAATTAGGCTCAGGGCCTCTTAGCGAAAAACATGCTGTCGTTTTGTAATTAGCTGGTCACTATGTCTCTAGGTAGAAGAAATCAGTGGTTGATAGAGTGTGTACCTCGATAAGAGATTCATGAAGAAAAATAAGGAATTTCAAAAAAAAAAAAAAAATCCTGCCAATAAAAAGTTCTTCTGTATTGTAGCGAACATTGCATATTTGAGTACCTATCTAAAAAAGGAACACTGTTTCCATCTTGTTCCTCTTTTGTTATTTGGATAATATATGTGTACTATATGGATTAAAAATATTTAAAATGATATGAAGTGTATGAATCAGGATGTCTGGATTGAGAGAGATGATTGAGATTGGCAATCGGAAGACGTAGAACGATATAAACCGATAATTCTATATAACAGGGTGGTCTATTCAATTTGAGACAGTCTAATATCTCCAAAACGCCGCGTTTTTGGAAAAAAATTGAAATAAAAGTTGTCACAAATCAGTGCTCGACCACTCTGTGGTATATAAATAATATTGAAGGCCAAATGTAATGAAAATAGAATATTTATTAATTTATTGCCATCTTGTTGGCGCAACAATGATAGGTACCACTTGTGTTCGACTCTGACTAATTTCTAAATTAATTTATCACAAGCGTTTAGATATTTTATATCTATTCTTTTTTTAAGTTTATTCCATATACTTAATATTCAATAATAATTCTGTTTTATAAAATAGGGTCTTATTGTAGCCTTGAAAAAATAAATAGGCATTTAGGAAAGCAAAGATTTTTGTGTAGAAACTGAAATTCGTATACAGAGTGGTTCCTAAACCGTTCTGGGACAGTTTTTTTGACATGTTGGAACAAACCTCATATCTATACTGCACATTTACTTAGGGGTAATTTTTTAGTATAACCCTATCAAAATGTAATACAAATAATTTAATTATTTTATATACATATTAATCTTTTGCGTCATGAAATTTCTATCACAAATTATTTCAAAGAGCGTCTTACACTCATATTGAAAATAAAAAAATATGGAGTGAAGTGATGGAGGCTATAGTAAGTAATTAGGTAGGTAGGTACTACATATAAGTACATTTAGACGATTTACTCAAATCTGGACATCATATTTAACTTTCTCAAATATTCAAAAACAAGACAATGTTTTTTTCATTGCAGCCCTGATGAGAACTGAAATCAGACACTGATTTGAATTGAACCATTCAGAAAATCCAAAAAGCTTGTTATTTCTACCCTCTACAAAGTAATACATTCACTTACTGTAAATATTAAAATGGAGCTTAACTTAAGTCCTTCATTCACAGCATTCTTGTCCAAATAAAGATTTCATTATTACCAGGATTATTTTTCTCTTCATTGACTTGACTGATACCTATATACTTATTTAGATATCATTTTAGCCTCAAGGTTCTTTCACAGCCAAGACTATTTCATAATAGAATATTTCAATGTTTAAATAGGTACCAGGGTAATCATTTTGAATGACTTTTTCTACTTTTTGGCGCTTATTTAAATCATTTACATAAAAAACTCCTGTGTAGAGTGTGACAATGTAAGTCATGCATTTGGTGGCCTATCTAAACAGCTAATTTCTAATACCCGCAATCCTCGTAAGCTAGGGTCGGTCAGCTTCAAGCCTCTGGGTTCGTATACACGTTCATTTTGTTCTGCTATGAATTTGGAAACTTTTTTTAGACACTAGGAAACATAAAGGATTAAAATATTTCAGTAAACACAAAGACATGCTTTCTTACCTTTTCATAATGAGTTTCCTTACAAATATAAATAAGATATGCTGTTAAACATGCTAGACAACCTTCGCAGTAGGAGGAACAGGATGCTTTTTCTGCTTCATCAAAATATGCATTCAGTCGGTTAATGGTAGTTTCAAAGGCTTGTTTTTCTAACTGGAAATAATTATTTATAATACACTTTGTTTTGTCTAGTGCTTAAAGTGTTATGTGGAACTATCAATAATAATTTTTAACAGTATAAAGCTGAATTTGCCATTTGAATTCAACCCTGTGACTCATTGAACCCTGTGACTCAACAGTTAAGGTACTTACACGTCCTTCCAGTTCTGGAGGAAAACTGTTCCTAAATCTGACAACCGTTCCCTCTGTATAATCTCTAGGTATAAACACTTTTAAGCACTGGGGCTGAGCCATTTGTTCTGTTTCACTTGCCCTGCCCCCATTATTGTAGTGATTACTCATTATTTCAAATAGGTAAATTAACTGTCTCTAGGAAACCTTACTGGATTATGAAATTAGGATATATTCATAAGAAATTGCACTGTTTAGTTCTAAAATTTGTAAATATTTTCATTCGTAAAATTTTAAAAAAAATAAAAAATAACTTTTTTCTCAAAAAATACACTACTTTTATCCTGTTGTCAATAAACTCTCACTGTCAATTAAAAGTCAATGTTATAGCGATTTCGATTCGACTGCACTCTTGCCACCAGTCAGTGTGCACGTGTGCACTGTTTTGTCTGTCATGCTCGATCGGACAGTTCAATGTGCCCTGAGAAATGTTCGATCTGAACTGGTTTTGCAATGCAACAGCGCGAAAATTCGAAAGTAAAGAGGTAATGAAGGTGCAATAAAGCCAGTGCGAGCCCATGGGCCATATTCACCCGCCATCAATTCAATTTTTGAACAAACTGATAGCGATTTCCATTTGTCGAACCAGTGCAAAAAAAATGTATCTTTATCCTTACATGTTACATGCTTTTAGAAAAAGATGCGGTTACACTCAGAGCGCACTGATTGATAAATGGAAATTGCCATGAAGCAAACCGCTCGCCTCTCGAAAATCTAGAGCGAGATCATCTTTAAGCTTCGTACAGTGCTGAACATTACGTCGAACATCAAAAAGAACAACGAACCTAACAGCAAAAAAAAGCAGGGATGTGCCGTAGACTATGAAATCCACTTTGCGCGGTTTGTCTACTCGTTGTCTACGTATTGTTTACATCCACTTTTTTCCATGTAGACTATAGCCGCTTTCCAGCTGACGCTTTTGAGCACGCAATCGATCTTTTGCGCGCGCAAATGCTTCAAGCGCATGTTCGTGTTCCAGCCGTACTGCGCTTCGAGAGCTACTAACTTTTGCGTTTCAAACACAGAACACTGTGCTTGAAGCACACAGCTGGAAAGCGGCTTATGTAAACTATGTAGACAATGTAGACAACAGAAAATTTGAAATTTGAGTAATTTTTTGAAAGTTTGCATTGCATTGACACGTTGTCTACATAGATTACATAGTTTACATTGTTTACGCGTTGTTTACACCAGACGTAGACAATCTTTATATACGCGTAGATGCCCAATCCCTGAAAAAAAGAACGGCGAACGGCCTTTTTTGATTTCGATGATCCGAACCACAAACGGAACGCTCGTGCTGCTCCCACAAATGATGGGAACGCCATAAACCATTCCCCGAACGGCCAAGATGTGCGAACCGGTTTGCAAATGCGTTCGTAGCCGTGTCCAAATCAGCTTTAAGCTCTGTACAGACCTGAACATAACGCCGAACAACAAACAGATCGACGAACGAAACACTAATTTGGACGGAGCTACGAACGCGTTTGCAAAACGGTTCGCCAGTTTGAAAAAGTATATTTTCGAGATGAACCCGTGACGTCACATTAAAATTGATTCAAACATTTCAAAATACAATCCAATCCAAGGATAAGACATACTTCTACTACAGGAAAATCTATCCTCATAAGGCCTGTGTGGAACAAATTTGAAGCCCTCCACCACGCCAAATCACCAGTTGTGACGTAGGCAGCATGTCCTTTCCCGCCTTGACGTAGGCTGTTTGCACTACAGGTTATGATTCCGCGGGCTTTTGATTTATATTTGGTTTTACTACATTAATTAACATTCTAAAACAATTCTTTTTAAGATCTCGTCTTCATTTTCCTCTTCGCCTATTATGTTAATGCTAATTATATTTTTCATCATAAATTTAAATACTAAACTACGACCGCTAGTGCAAACAGCTGACGTCTTAGTTATGACGTCAGAAATGGTGACACACCGATATGGCGGCGATTACCAAAAACGAGGCTGAGAAGCCATCCTTATGGCCGTTTCCACCAACTATTTTAGGGAAACCCTAACGATAAGTATTCCCTAAACTGACATTTCTCCATGTAAAATTGTCTTTTTAGGGAATACTTATCGTTAAGGGTTCCCTAAAATAGTTGGTGAAAATGGCCATTAGTAGTGTGTATTATGGCCATTTCCACCAACTATTTTAGGGAAGCCCTAACGATAGGTACGCCTTAAACGCACATTTCTCCATGTAAAAATGTCATTTCAGGGAATACTTATCGTTAGGGCTCCCCTAAAATGGTCGGTGGAAATGGCCATTAATTCCTTGAACCCAATCCACATTTTCAAACCATTTTCTGGCACCAAGAAGTAACAAGTTATGACGTCATGTGACACTGTTTTAAACCGGTTTTGAAAAATGTTTTAAAACATTTGAGACGCGAAACGGTTCGCATATCCTGGCCGTTCATAGATCCTTACATTTTAGTGTTTTCATCATCGTTCAGTTCGTTGTTCTGTTTTTAAAATTATGTGTCGGACCTCTTGGAATAGTTTTCAGTTTTCAGACCAAAAGACACGTTCTCGAACGCAACCCTGTTGGAGAAATTAGTGGGGTTAGAGGTTTGTTGCATTAGGCAATTCAAACCACGTGACAATCAAGATGGCGTGGCGGCCGCACATAACCTAAAAAACACAAAAAAATATCTAGTTTCTACCCGATTTAATAGTTCAGGTACCTAGTCAACAAATATTTTATTAAATAATCAAAATCAAAGTTGCAAACCAAACTCTAAGCAAAATAATTTAAAATAAGCATAAAAACATAATCAAAATAAACTTGCTTGGCCGCCACGCCATATTGAATTTTCCATTTTGACAGATGGATTGAATTGCCTAATATTTATCTTGGCGGGAAAATCTGAAATAGTAAATAGTGCTGTGAATACCCTGGTCGAAGGTCGAAGCAGCGTTTTGGCTCTTTGTGGTCTCAGCTAAACGACCAGAGGAATCTACTAACAAATTCTGTGTTTCGTTTGTACTAGTGGTAAGTTGAGCATTTGACGTGTTTTTCATATTTGCTTAATTTCCTGCTTTTGCTTTTTCTTTATACAGGGTGTCCACTATAGTGCGATATCGGACGCCGATATCTCCTTAGAGGGTGATGTAAGAAAAAAAAAATTTAAAGCTGTTTGATACTCTAATATGCATTAGTTAAAAATATTTTTGAATATACAGGGTCTTCCGTTTATGGGGTATGCGACAGAACTTTGTTATTTCAGATGGAACACCCTGTATGTGATTGCATATTTGGGTTCTACGTTAAATTCTGAGCAGATTTCATGAAATATACCCTATAGCCTAAACCTGTTTTGGAAATATTGACAGTTGAAAATTGCCTTTTTTGTAACTTTGACAGGCTGTAATACCTATAAGCCATTGAACTAAACAAACACTGTGAAACGGGCGCACTGTTTTATGCTAGTGTGCCGAATTTTGATATATGCAACCCAGCAATACAGAGGGATTGTTGTCTCGCTCGCACTCATTACGATTAACGTGAAGAAAAAGAGCTTCTTCATCTTCCTAACCTCAATGATCTAAACACTTCGAACAGCTGTTCCCAATAGCCGCCATAGGGCAGAGAGAGATGCAAATCCCACTTGTCTGTTGTCCTTCCTGGCACAAACCCTTGCGTTAGAAACATTATGCAGCCACCGTTCCAGTGTGTTTGTTTAGTTCATTGACCTAAGCCTAGTACTCATAACTGCGAAATTCGCACTTTTTTGACATTGTTTTGACAATTTGACGTTTTATGCGTGTATCAAACGTCAAAATGTCGAAGCAATGTCAAAAAAAGCGAATTTCGCAGTTATGAGTACTAGGCTCTAAACGGATAATTTTAGACGATAGGTTTTACAGCCTGTCAAAGTTGCAAATAGTCAATTTTCAACTGTCATTTTTTCTAAAATAGTTGAACTCAGGTATGGTATATTACATGAAATCTGCTCAGAATTTTATGTAAAATCCAAATATACAATCACATACAGGGTGTTCCTCTTAAAATAAAAAAGTTCTGTCGTATACCCCATAAACGGGGCACCCTGTATATTCAAAAATATTTTTAACTGATGCATATTAGACTATCAAACAACTTTGTAATTTAATTTTTTTTTCTTGCATCACCCTGTAAGGAGATATCGTCCGATATCGCACAAGTAGACACCGTGTATATTTTCATCTTGATTAGTTTTTTTGCATAAATTTGTTGAAAATGGACGACCCCGGGGGCGTATTACCATTATTTACTATTATACAGAGCAACTGTGCTCCGAAGCGCAGTGGAGAATGGATTAGCAAATAAGCGTATTTTAAATTGTCAATGTTTACTGCGATTCAGCACATCGCCCAAACTATATGTTCTGAATCACAGTAAATGTTGGCAATAATATAAACGCGTGTTGCTATTGGCCATTGCTTACTGCATTACAGCTACATAGTAAAATTTTATTTCAGAATATTGTTTAAAAAAAAACTTTTAACTATCATTAAAGGGAGAAGGTGTTGCACTTTGCACTTGTTGAGTCACGACTCAGATATGGCATTGAATTTTGGGGTTTTGCCAGTGGTCACTAGTTAATTCAGTTTTTGTTTTACAAAAACGGACTGTTCGTCTATTGTGTGGAGTCGGCTCTAGGGAACACTGCCGGCCTCCTGTTTATCCGGGAGGGAATTCTTACATTGACCTGTATTTTTATTTTACTGACGGTGGGCATGGTTCACAAAAAATATAGAGGATCAGATAATAATAATGACACCAGGACAACTAGGTTCAACAGCAACAATCTAAGTCTGTGCGTCCCAAGGAGTACATTAACAAAAAACTCAATAATATATGAGGGGAAAAAGATGTATAACCACCTGCCTCTTGAGATCAAATATCTAGACAATAGTGTCCTTTTTGCTAGAAAAGTAAAACAGCTTCTGCTTTCATAGGCATATTATTCTCTGGAAGAATTTTATGGCGATAGGCTCTAGCTTTAATGATTGTATAAATTATGACGTCTATACTGCATCTTAAAAAATGTTTCAGTCTTTATTTTTGTTTGTTCGCTTTTTTATTTTTTATTTGTATGTGCCAGGACTTGACTGGATTTGTGAATGACATTTTAAGTAGCAGTTTTGGGTGGTTTTTAATGTTTTTATCTTGATTGTCTTTATTGGTTCTTAGTATTTTAACATGTAACATTACCTTTCAGTGTCTCTTTATAATGTTTTTGTATTATTTCCATTTTAGCTTTGTAAATAAGGGTCTTAAGGCC